TGCCCGAAACAGAAGCTGCTCGAGGAGGCTTGGCGGTCTAGGAGCAGAGGTGGGAGAGGGAGAGGAGGTGGTGGGCAGGGCTCCCTGCTGAGCTTAGATGCTGGATGGCACTCACTTCCCCAGCAAGAAGGCCTTTGCAGAAAGTTTGCAAAGGGACTCGGTGCATACTAAGTGCTGCTTTAGGAAAATGAGTCTCACTGTAGCTCGGAACGTATTAACTAGGGAAGGGACCATGGCAAAGGTCTGGGAGCACTGCTTGGATGCTCACTCCTGTGCTGGAGGCTGCGGGGAACAGGAGAAAAATGAGCAGACCTTTTCTCCAGCCCTAAGGGAATACAAGGAAGTCTTGCATTTCTCTGGCAATTCACAGTTGGACATAACTTTCGCTTTTTTTTATTAGCTCATTCATCTTGGAGATGATGCTTCACATTAGCAGAACAGTTATCATTACCTCCTTTTACAGAGAGAGAAACTGAGGCTCAGAGAAGCTCAGGCACTTGCCCGGGGCTGCTTCTAGATGGTGGTTAAGAGAAGCCCTAACCCAGACTCACAGTTCATCCTGGGCTGACCCATAGTTCTGCTGGGGAAGCAAAGCCTAGACACAGAGTAAAACCCAAAACTATAGCACAGTGCAAACATATGATAGCCAAAGACAGCCCTTAAATTCTTATCAAGAAACACATTAACCCGTGGTGGACTATACTGTCAACCACATCAGGTGTTTGCAGTGCTGTTTCTTTGTATCTTCCTATTGCTGAGAATTCTGTCACTAAGCAAAAGATCAAGAAGACAGATTTGGTGCGGAAGTTTGGAACCTGGGTGTTAGAATCAGACCTGGCTCAAGCCCCACCTCCGCCATTTGCCAAATGAACTTGGACTCCACCCCTTGGAGCTTCAGACCTCCCACCTGTCAAGTGATAGTCACACACCCAGCTCTCACCAGGAAGGCCACTGTGCAATTCCGTGATGACATGTATAGAGCACACTGTGTGTGTCTAGCCTACTTACTGGCGGGGTTCAGTAAGGAAAGGCGTTTTGAAAAGGTCTACAGGGGCGCCTGTGGGGCTCAGTCGGTTAAGGTCCGACTTGGGCTCAGGTCATGATTTCACGGTTAGTGAGTTCAGCATGATTTCACAGTTAGGGAGTTCAAGCCCTGTGTCTGGCTCTCCGCTGTCAGCATGGAGCCCATTTGGGATTCTCTGTCTCCCTTTCTCTGCCCCTCCCCCACACGCATTTCCCCCCACCCACCCATACCCGCATCTCAAAAATAAACATTAAAACATTTTTAAAGGTTTACAAAGGGATTTGGCATTCATGGGCACAAACAATACTGTAGTACCTTCACATACCCTTAATCTTCACAAGGTAGTTTTTACTACTCCCATTTTATATGAGGAAATTGAGGCCGGAGGAAATTTCGCTTGCCCAAGGTCACACAGCCGAGAGGTGGAATATGTACGATTTAGACTTGCGTCCGGCTCCGAAATCATTACTTTTTTTTTTTTTTACTCTGCCACACAATTTATGGCATCGTGAGTCCTGGATGTCAGAGGAGGCTCATGGAGACACAGAGGCTGAATTACAGACTCAAATGCTGATGTTTCCGAGCCACCGAGGAACAGGCTGCAAGTGCCACTCTGCTTATAGGACTTTTGGTCTGGATTCGGATTTGCATGGCCTCCAGTGCGGGACTATTGGGTCTCCAGACCTTCCCTCCTTCCCTATCTCTCCCCTCCTACTGCTTTGAAGGATTTTCAGATCAAAGGTGCAGCCTTTCTCCTGGGGGATAATCCTGTCACCTGTAACCTTGTTTTCCGAGTGTCCTTCACAAAGAAGGGCTTCAGCCAAAAATTTCTCCCTCGGCGTAATCACACAATTTTTCTCGGCCTTCACCAGCCCTCAGGATGGGATGGAAAGGTAGATGACTGCCTTCAAAAGCATTTTTATGCTGCAGAACTGCCCAGAATAAATTAGCCAGCGCTCAGAAAGTGTCAGATACGCTACTTCCCCGTCCTCATTTTATTTTCAGCTCTGGGTCCTTTTCCTTCTTAAACGCCACCTCCTTTGTTTCCTTACTGAGGGCTGGCACTTTTTTTTTTTTTTTTTTACATTTGCCCCGTCCTGGGGCGGGGGCATCTCCCCAGAAATTTTCTTCCTCCGGGTAAGCCTTTGTAAGGTTCTAAGACCCAGACCTGATCAGCAAGTTGAGAATGGAATCAAAAATACTTTCAATTGCCCAAGGGAAGCAAAAGCCTAGCGGATCCAGGTTTAAGATAAAAAGACAGCACCTGAGAGATGCGCCTGTGTGGCTCTAGTCGGTTGAGCGTCTGACTTCTGCTCAGGTCATGATCTCATGGTTTGTGAGTTCAAGCCCCGCATCCGGCTCTGTGCTAACAGCTCAGAGCTTGAAGCCTGTTTCAGATTCTGTGTCTTCCTCGCTCTGTGCCCCTCCCCTACGCATGCTCGCTCTCCCTCTCCCCCCTTTCAAAAATGAATAAAAACATTACCAAAGAAAAACAGCACCTAAGATAATCAACAAGTATTGGGGGCGAGAGGCAGAGCTGCATCGGAGGCCCTGGGTATCCGTGACACGTGGCTTGCTGGAGAAACTTTCTTCGTTGACATAATTTACAGAGGACCCTTGACAAGTGCCTGAGACCCCTTCTTGTAGGAAAAGCTCCATTTGTCTTTGGAAATATCCCTGGCTTCCTCCTTCCTCCCTGTTATTTCCAGGGATTTCAGAGGAGCCCCTCAATGTCAAGGGGAAATGGAATGATTTTTAGGTTCTTTAACGACATGAGGATCCTACCTTGGCCTTTTCCTCTTGCCAGTCTTCTTTCCTACAGAGAGAGACTGAGAGTAATAAGAAGGGAAATTGCATTTCTTCCCCCCTCCGCACACCCCCTCCTTCCATGCCATAATCTGACCCAAAGAAAAACCACCTTCCCTCAGCTGGAGGTCTGCAAAGGTACTGGGGCACCTGGGTGGCTCAGTCAGTTAAACATCTGACTTTGGCTCAGGTCATGATCTCACGGTTCGTGAGTTCAAGCCCTGCGTCGGGCTCTGTGCTGACAGCTAGCTCAGAGCCTGGAGCCTGCTTCCGATTCTGTGTCTGCCTCTCTCTCTGACCCTCCCCTGCTCACGCTGCCTCTCTCTCTCTCAGAAATAAAACATTTTAAAAAAATTAAAAAAACAAAACAAAGGTAGAGTATTAATGTCTAGCAGAAGGCCCTCTTTTCAAAATGGAAGCTAATCTGAAAATGTTCTTCTGTCCTGACATTGGGTTTCTTTTAAGTTTATTTATTTGTTTTGAAAGAGAGAGCGTGAGTAGATGACGGGCAGAGGGAGAAGGGGAGAGAGAGAGAGAATCCCAAGCAGGCTCTATGCTGAGCCCCAACACAGGGCTCAATCTCACGACGCTGGGATCATGACCTGAGCCAAAATCAAGAGTCAGACACTTAACTGACTGGGCCACCCAAGTGCCCCCTGGCATTGGGTTTCTTAACATCTTAATCTAAAGAACCATCTTCCCCCACGCCCCCCACCCCATGTCCCTAAAACACACACACACACACACAACCTGTCAGGTTCCCAGCAACTCAAACTCCATCAGATTTTTTGGCCCCACCTAGTCCAACTGAATCAAAACTCCTGGGGGTGGGGCCCAGCAATTTCCCTAATCACCTGAAGAACTTACGAATTCATAAATTCCTGGCCCGCACCGCCAGAGATTTTGATTCAGTAATTCTGCAGTGGGACCCAAGAATTTACATTTACATCAAACTCCCAGATGGTGGAGTTGCTGCTGGTCCAGCGAGTAGCTCCAGTTGACACAGCTTCCCAGCGGCCCCCAGGGCACAGATTTCTTCCATATGCTACGTGGTAAACTGTGTGCAAAGATCATGGAGGGACAGAGGGGGAGGGGAGGAGGTGTAGACTCAAAGAAGGAAAAGAAGTTCTGGAATAGGAAGCAATGTCTGGAAGAGAGACCTGCTCTTCCTCAGCACACTTTGACTAAAGCTTTTCTTTCTGGTGCTTTCCATCTCCCTGTTTCTGGTCCATATGAGTTTCCCACTGATTCAGACCTACCAATGGTTTCTTAAAGGCCTTATAAAAACGCTGGTGCAAGACCTAGTCCAACGGAAGAATTAAAAGAATACACCCCAGGGCCTCTGGTGCTGAAGGACGTGGGGACAGGGTCGCCCTGCCTCTGGAAGGTCTGACAGAGCTTTGCGACTCCCTCCCTACTTCCCACGGGTCCTGTCCACGGAGCGTGTGGACTTCATGGGAATCCCCTAGTTAAACACAGATCACTGGCCCGGTCCCTGGAGTTTCTCATTCGGCAGACTGGGCGTGGGGTCCAGAGTGAGCACTGCATTTTTAATAAGCTTCCAGGGGTGTGTATGCTGCTTCCCCAGGGACCCCGCTGCAGAAGCACTGGCGTGGGCAACTGAGGTAGTGCCAGGGGTCATTTAGGGCCACTCTGACCAGTCACCCCCCGAGAACAATTCTGGAAGGTAGGCTGCTTCCAGCCAGCGAGAATATGTAGGGAGGCATCGGAACCTTGCTGTCTCTGGCGGCAGTCTCGGAATCGGGAGGCCGGTGTCCTGCAAAAAACGACACATTCATGCGGGGGGAGGGGGGCGGGGGGGCTTTTGTGAGCCTCCAAACTGTTACATTTACCTTCTTGCCCAGAAAGTCCCGGGCGCTCTATTGCACCCGGAAGTCTGTACCTTCCCCCCGAGCATCACCTGTCTCTTGGCTTTTGTTACAAAGTATGACCGCTTCCTACGGTTTGCCAGAAGACGTGATGTTCGGGCTCCGAGGACGGTCCCAAACACGCTTGGCGATGTGACCCGTCTTCGGCCTCGGAACTGGGCTCGTTGTTGGCAAGGAGGTCAGCCTGTCTCACGGTGTCATTTCTCTCTTCTCTCCACCCCCCCCCCCACCTCCCTCCTCGTGTCCTTGCCCTCTGCCTCCCCACCCCACCCCCACCCCAGTGCACTCCCAGAAACAGAACAGACAGACCTGCGTCCGCAAGAGCCTCATCTGCGCCTTCGCCATGGCCTTCATCATCAGCGTCATGCTGATCGCGGCCAACCAGATCCTCCGCAGCGGCATGGAGTAGCGGCCGCCCCCGCCAGCTGCGAGCCCCGCTCACCGCGCATGCGCATGCCCCGCGGGCAGACTTCCTCCGCAAAAGCAGACACGGACGTTGCAGACGAGGCACAGTCGAGCGAAGAACCCCAAGGCCGCAGTGCAACAGGTGTTGCCAACCCACTTCATCTCCTTGGCAGGGACACCAAAGGGCTGTCTTAAATGCTTTAATGGTTTTGTTTCCTAATGCAATAAAATAGCCAGGAGTTCCCAGTGACTGCTTCACTCACCCCCCAGGAACTCCGAAGACACACGTCATTTCCATCCCGGGATGCCAGGGGCCGTCCAGGCTGGCGGTGTAAGAGAGCAAGAGCGAGGCGTCAGCACGCTGCCACCTCCATGTCCCACCCTCTCAACCCAGGGGTCGGCCGGAGACTCTGGGCTGCGGGCCCCTCGGTCCCTAGGGGCTGACTGCGGGGCTGCTACAGAAGAAGGGGCTTCCGTCCCACCCTGGCTTCCTTCCTCCACCCAGTGGAGCCCCCCCAAGGCGTGAGGGGAAAGCCATCGAACGGGGTGCAGCACCTGGCGGTCTGCAGGCCGCACCCCTTCGCTTCCGTTCTTACTGCCTTTTCTAGAAGAGTCTTGCTGGCAGAGTTGGGGAGCTCTCGGCTTCCGTTGGCACTTGGCTTTCCGTTCCTAGAGCCCATCGCGCACCAGCATTTTGGAGTCTGCAGAGAGCCTCTCCCAGCTTTTGCCACCTGTGCTGCCCTTAGTGAAAAGAAAAAAAAAAAAAGTATACTTGTGGGCATCTCTGTACCATAAACACGTAGACAGACGTATATACTGGGCTTCGTCGTGTGTCACATCACCCTTTCCTGATCGCTTATTCCCAATATAAGCTTATTCTCCGACACGCACCCCCTCCTCTCTGGGGTGGGCCAGGTAGTTTGGCGCGGTGCGGGGAGGGCCTGGGACCCTCCCAGCCGAGTCGCCTGGAGTCGTGGAGCCCGAACCCGCCTCCATGCCTGAAGACCTCTGTAAGTGAAGGGCCTCTAGCATCTTACCTTCTCTCCTTCTCTTGAGATTTGCTTTGTTAGTCTTCCCCAGATGGAAAGAGAAATACAGTCCACAGTGGAAAGATGGAAAGATCAAACTACTGTGTACCGCACATAACATCTTCCAGTGCTCAGATTCTGCAACTGACTCATTTTCCCAGGGAAACAAAGAGACTGAATCAGCTTAGCCAACACGACTGGTAATTTGCTCTTGCCTGCAGAAAACTTCTGCTGGGGAAGGGATCTGAATCCCAGGGTCCGTCTTCAGGACCGTTTCAATCTGTCATTCCCTGATTTTTCCCAGATGCCATAGCAGCCACTACTATTGATTCAAGCTTGCATAGTCCAATTCGCCGCTACTCTTTCGATGTGATGTTTTCCTTTGGGCTTTTCCGAGCTCAGGTCTTTATTTCTGTAGTAGAATGGTCTTGCGCCTCTTTCCTTCCATTGCATCCTGAAGCTACATGCTTTTTTCCCCCTCTCCCTTTCCTCCTTTCTTCTAGTATTGAGGTGCCAGAATGTCTCCTCTCTAGGTTTGGCGGTGCAGTGTTTGTGTCCCGGAACCCCTCCCCCAGAGGCCCCTCCCTCGCAGTTTTCTCCCTTTCTGCCTTTTCCAACCTGACTTGTCCTTTTAGGGTCTTTTCCTAGTTCCCTTCTGCAAGCACTTCCTGCAGCAGGCACGGGGCCGCTGTAGAAACTTCCCCTTGGTGGGAGCCTGCAAATATTCCTGATGAGCACAAGTAAAACTAGGGTTTGAGCCATAGTACAGAGGACCATGAGCAGGTGTGAGCTCCCAAGAGCCCCCGGGTTGAGGGTCCTGCTAGGAAAATGCCCGGAGTCCCGCCGCACTGCATGTCTGCCTCCTCGCTCTCCCCCTGCCTGACCCCCCCCTGGTCCCTCAGGGTCGGCTTCCAGAAGGAGAACAGGCCCCAGCACAGAACACTAACACAGACGACAACTTCATCATTAGTTTTTGCCCAGAGTAGTTTACCTTCTTCCTCTCAACTGGACTCGGATGGGGAGGTCCCCCTGAACCACTAGACCGTGTCCTCAAAGTCGATTAAATAGAGACCTTGGGAGCCCCCTGCCCCTCGAGAGGGGATCGCAACCCTTCTTCGAAGGCTGGCTCTCTGCAAGTCCTGTCCTCCCACTGGAGAATGGGGTCCCCGAAGGAGGTGAGGCTTAGAAGAGAAATTAGCCGCTGTGCAGGGGTGGAGAGTAAAAAGAGCTCTGGAGAGAGGCACCAACAGCCCGTTCAAGGCCTCAGCACCCTCTCCGCAAAGAGGACTCTTTTCCTCTCCCAGTGACCAGCGAGCAAGCCCATCCCAGGAGGGCATCCAAGAAGCCTGCGTCCCTTGTAGGGAGAGAGGACGAGAAGGAAGCTGTAGAACTTTCCTCTTGGGTGGGCTAGAATTGGCCCGCCACCATGGTAGCCTCGCGCCTGGCACCCAGGGCCTGAGGTGTGGGAGGACGGCCCAGGGGCAGGGGTGGTTCGGTCAGAGGTGCTGGGATTTTTTTGGTAAGCCTGAAGATGCTGACTTTCTGCAGTCCCACCCCAGGACCTGTCCATTCCAGAGCTGCCTCAGGGCCCCTGCCACAGCACTTAGGATGCTCATGGGTAAAGCGTGGTTCATTCTTGCTGTAAGAATGGGCACCCCCACCCCCAGACCACACCAGGGATGATCAGGGAGGCATTTTGCTAGGGAGATCCCCCCCCCAAAAAAAACAGCTGTCTCCTATCACTCCAGAAGCAGACAGAGCCCCCAGTCAGGACCCAGCATGGGAACTATCAGAAGTGGCTTCCAGAATGTGCGTGGCTCCCACGTGACCAATCTGTAAAAAAAAGGGGGGGGTGATGTTGCCATGGCAACCCTCCCATTCCACCCCGAGTTTGGCAAGGCACACAAAAATAGGGAACATTTTCTTAAAGAACACTGGGCTGTGCCTGATGGTAGCCAGACTCCCTGCGTCCGTAGCCTCCTGGTGGGGTAAATTACTCTTAAAAAATCTGGCGGTTTCTCTGCCTTCTCTGGGGTTTGGAAACCATCCTTCTGTGTGCTCCCCACCCCGCCTCCTCCCCCACTTCCCAGGGCCCAGAGCAAGGACCCCTTCAGCTGGGCGAAAAGGCAGAAATGTCATTTGGAAGGCAAAACATATTTTAAGCCTCAATCTTTAAAAGCATCTGTTTGCCTGTCGAGACGCTCTCCCACAAGCCAGAAATGTGAACTGAAGTGAACTGAGGTTGGCATGTGGTCGGAGGTGAGCCCAGGGGCTTCTGAACTTTTTCTAGGTGTTCCGTTTGCAGAAAACAGGATGTGCACCACGAGGTGCGTTCTTTCTCGATACCTGTCCCCCGCCTCAAGTTGCACATGACAAATGGCCTATCGCCTCGTTCTGACAGTCCTGCCCTTCACCTCCCATGCCTGGAATCATGAAGTGATGTGTCTAAGAACGGGGAGGGGGAAATTTCTCTTTCATTCTAAATGCCTTCTCTAGGCTTAAGTCCAGACTCAGGTTATAAATCAAAGAGAGTTTTGCTCTTAGCGTGTAGCTGACGGCCTCCCTGGGACCGTGACTGAGCAGAAAGGGTGTGACTGCGAAGCACAGGTTCTGGGGTTGGTTGGCTGGCCTGGCCGTGTGTGGCTGCGTGTCATGAAATCCCGTTCCTGCCGTGCCATTTGCTCTCCATCGTCGCGGTAGCCGCTGAGCTCTGCTCCTCCCAGGTGGAGGTCCCCAATCGGATGGGGTCCTTTTACTGCACTGTTTCTCCAAAAGCCCATAATGATAGCATTACTCACCCTGCTCCACGGAGATGTAGGGGGATCTAAAACCCCACAGCAAGGAAGAGCCCCTTGTCCTATAGCACCGTGATGCTACAGACGGGCCGAGCCGAGGCTTCCGGACTTGAGCACATACCGGTTGTATTCCTAGGAGGACTCCCTGGAGAACATCTGTCTGCTGTCACCTGAGATCACAACTTTCCCGTCGGCCTCTTCAGTGATCCTCACAAGGCTAAGAGTCCGGAACCTAAAGCCCTTGCCACAGCCATCTTTCCTCACCTCCTCATTACTCGGCTGTCCCAGAAGCGGGGGAAGAGCCATCAGAAATAGCAAAGTAACATTATTCAACAGCTTAGGGGTTTCAAGTTGAATTATTTGAAGCGTTGGCAGAGTGGAGGAGGGGCGGGCTGCCCTTTGCGGACCCTTCTCCACAACCATTGACATGTCAACTGTCCAGCTTCACTCCATACTTCCTTTGACTCAATCACTCAGGGGACTGTCCTCAGTTATGTGGCCTTGCCGTTGACACTTGGTCTGGGGAGGAATAAGGTCAAATGCACAAACCAGCCAAACATCTCCCTTACTATCCTATGCCCGTCGCTGATGCACACAGCTATGGTTTCTATGTTATACTGGCTTGGGACCCTCTTTATACGGTCTCAAGGGACATGATGACAGAGCTCGGGAAGTCTTCATGGCAAAATGAATTCGATTCCGTTGGCTTGACGTAATAGCCACAAAGAATCGGGTTTTGCCCGTCCCACAGGAGAGCCCTCTGAAACTGGAAAAGACTCGCCAAGCCCCCTGCCCCCTGCCCTGACTTTGGGTGGCTTATGGGCTCAACACCCATGGTGGGTGTCACCCTCATTCACCTCTTTTCTTTGAGCTCGATGGGTTGGCTTTCAACGCAGTGCTTCTCACCATGTTAGAAATTATTGCCCAAGGGAAAGGGATGCAGAGGCTGGAATTTTCCAGGGGAGTAGAGGAGGAGGCTGATGAGGAAGGAATATTCCAGGGAATGAAAAATTCAAGTGTGGTGTTGCTCCGTCCCTGGACCTGTGTGAGAGAAAAAGGAAGATTGTAAAGGGCTGCAGAGGCTGGTCTCTGAACGCTTTCCCTGAGTATGTGGCCTACATTGGAAGGGGGGAGCGGACTGCAGGGGACTGAATGCCACGGGGCTGCTGTCCATCAACCTGACCCCATTGACACGTGTGGCAAACGTCAAGAGGAGGCCAGTAGCTCATCTTTCCTTGGGGGATGCTGACATCTGGCAAGCTCAAAATGCCTCTCCCCGGGCATCCCGTCTGGGCTCAGACCTGTTGAACTGGGGCCAGGAGAGCGGCCCGTAGACTTAAGACACAGGAGCACTG